GAGAGAGAGAGAGATACTTAAAACTGTTACTATATCGTGCCTATCGTACACCGCTGTTCGAAACTTGGGGAAAGGAAATCTCGCGATCGAGAAAAGAGGAGAACTTTTTTGATTTTTCTAATTGTCGCGGGGGGGGAAAAAAAAAAGAGAAGAGAAGAAATCAGCGAACGCGCAATTTCCAAAAAATTTGCCAATGGAATTGGTGATATAGCGATGAATCGATGTTCTCTCCGGCATACAAGCAAGCAAACGTAATTTGAAAACGTAATCGCGGTTGATAGTTGAAGCTAGTCCATCCTTTCGAATTTCTTTCAAAGATCGTCAAACTTTTTGCCCGCACTTGCTGTTACAATCTAATCTCTACTATTCTCATGGTTCCTATTTACCGGCAATTCCTAACCGCGGTGTAAAATTTGCCGGGATCATTTGCATTTCCAAGTGGATAAAAGTGATGACGAAACTCGTTGAGCTATTTATATTTTTGAGACTGTATAAAAAGAGATGTCGAGACGACGTTCTGACGACAAGGTGATGCTCTCGTCGCTATATTTCCATGAGTTTCACTTTCACTTCCCAGACATTTTATCCGCGCGCGCGCGCGCGCGCGCGCGCGCACACACACACACACACACATACCGAGGAACAATCGAATCTTCGAGATGATTTAACATTTATTATATCTGCGGTGCTATTAGTCAATATGCTTAAAGATTCTCTGTCGAAAATATTCTCTGCCCTTCGAACATTCCCGATCACTTCAAATCTTTTTTACCAATCTTTAAATCTTAATCGAATACACTTTTAAGTTCCTCTCGTTGAATATATATATATATATACGTACTTATCGTTTGTTAATGTTATTTGTTATTACTTGCTTCGAATCATTCCATTTCCACGCGTTCCAGAAAAGATAGATACTTTGTTCGAAATAATTTGTCGCTTTCTTGTGCGATGATTTTTTCGTTGTCTAAAAATCATATCGTAATATCGCGTTCCGAAAAATACTTATCCGTTAACATTTACGATTTCTTGGTGAAAGAGAAGAAGAATTTTTCGAAAAGCGAAAAGCGTAAATTAAAAAAGACTCGCGAGAATTAAAAAACGGAGGAAATTTTTAACTGTTCTCGTCGGCGAAGAGCAATAGAAAATTTGTGACCAGATTTGTTCGCCGTTGATGAGACGTTAACTTTAAGGGATGGAAGTGGGCAAATAATCTATTTTTCAACGTTTGTTAATTTAAAAAATAATGCTGCGATAATTAACTGCCATAATATTACTTGCAAAGGAAAATTATACGTCGAAGAAAACGTGTTATATCTCACGTTATAACGTGAAAGAACCATCGAGACAAGCTTCGTTTGCCCACTTCTTCTTCGATTTAAACCAGTGTAGGGCGTATTTTGCTGCGAATAAGTGAACAAAAAAAATCCGCTTGTGTGTATACATACGTGTGTGTACGTGTACTTAAATCTTAAGAATATGTGATTTTTACTTTTACGTTAATTTATATACACGCACGTTTATATTCTCACGTGTGCGAATCGTGATTAAATCTCTCTTCGACGAGAGATCCGATTCTACGATTCGCAATACGAGCAATATTTAATTGATCCGTAATTGGCCTAAACATATTATTACATAAAGAACGATGATTAGTTAGTCAGAGGCGTCGATACTATTTATCGATCGAAATAACCGTACTGTACTAGTGTAGACTGTACAGTTCCGACTGGCTATTATTAATTGTTCAAATTATCGTTTCGTTTCTCTTTGAAAAAAAAAAAAAAAGAAGAAGAAGAAAATTAGAAAAGGACGCGTAGAAGTTGCGTTAGTTGAACGGAATATAATAAGTGAGTCAATGTAGGCGAATAGATTATCTAAGGAAATGTGATTTTACTTTTAAGACCAATCTGTGTTAAATTCGTGAACTTCACCGGTTCTGTGCCAGTGGCCATGTCGCCCCTCATCCTTTCGTTATCGCTTCTTTCGTATCTATGAAATTTTCAAAATTTTCAAAGGAAAAAACTGTAGGTCAGAACCGTTCACCAAGATGGTAATTCGACGCGTGAAGTAGGAAAGTAAAGTTTACGTAGTTTAAGGAATGAAAATAATAGTATAAATCCAACTTAAAAAGTTTTTCGATCATTACGATCTTCATCTTGATTGAAGACGATCTTCCGGGAAGAGAATTTCTCTACGATCTCAGGAATGTGATTTATAAATTCATTTCCGAATATTATTATTAATATTATTATTATTATTATTATTATTATCATCGTTTCCAAGTGTTTTCAATGTTTTAACGATATATATTAATTTAGTTATTATATAGTTAAAGAAATTCGATCGATCGATCAAATTAGGTTATAAGCGACCGTGGCGACTAGCCAGTCACCGAAAAAAACTAACGTTCGTACTTATAGTCATTTCTAACACTCGAGTGTTACTTATTTTTGCTACTTCAACCCCCTTCTTCAACCCCCTAAAAATTCTTTAATACACATAACATAACACGAATGGGAGAAAATAGAGAGGAAAGATGATGAAATTGGATGTTATTACCGAATGGAAAGGGGTAAAAGGTAGGAAAAGATCGCTCGAGAGTTGCCTCGATTGCCAAGAAAAATCCGATCGGCAGAACGAAACTCCGTTAATTGTTCCCGTCCGATTTTTCGATACTGGACACGCCCGAGGCGAGACTGTTAATTTATCACGTACTTAATAACCAATATAAGATGGGGCTGCTGTATTTTTACACGGACTTTGTATAAATGACGAGAACCGCGAGAACAATGTTTTTCGCGCATCATTGTATATATCTGTATACCAATAAATATAGATGTAGGATTAAAAATTTAACTTTATCTTGGGCCGTTGTTCATTAATTGTTTGAAATTTTTTTTGATTGGCCGAGCATCGATTCCGAGAAACTCTTAATTTTGAACGTCTTATTATCATTCATATTTTCTATTTGTAAATATTCCTTTAATTCCTTCGTACGCTGTATTTTAGTTTCCTCTATCATCTTCCGCAAATCGTTTCCATATCGCAGAACTAAAGGGAAAATATTTATGATGAAATACGAAGCATTGCTTCGTTTCATGTAAAACGTATTTGTGTATACGATAAAAAATGTTTCTTAATATGACACCTTTTTCGCGTCGCATTTGCTCCTTTTCTCTTTCTTTTGCCTCCTGCTTTTTTCGTTCCTCTATCAAATAATTAGCAAAAGCAACATCGATCGCAATTTCTTTCGCTTTTCTTTCGGCCACGATTTTCTGAGTTCTTGCCTATCGATTTTGACAACCTTCGATAATTATTCGCTTCTTAATACACGCGATCAAAATGACACCAGTGTACGAATATAATATATTTTTACCATTTCTTGTAAGAATTCTTTAGCAGTTTGTTTTTTTTTCACCGCGACTGTAATCGCTTCCTTTTTCAATTCATGTTCTTTCTCTGCTATATATAATTCTCGACAGATTTCCTCTCGTTCCAATCTTTTATACTCTTCCTCCATTAACTTTTTCATCATTTTTTCCAACAAAATATCTTTGGCCGCACGAATATCAATCTGAAAAAAATAATATTTACCATTAAAACGTTCAATTCCGACAAATTTTCATCTTTACAAAACCTTTCCCTCAGCTTCCCTCTTTTGCAAAGCTTCTCTTTTAGCAACGATCCTTGAGATTTCATCGTGCTCTTGCTTCAGAATCTCCTTTCTCTTCTCTTTCCAAAATTCTCGAGCCTTTAAAAAAGCATCCCTTTCAGTTTGTAACGTAATAGCGATTTCCTTTTTTTCTTCTCCGCTTCCACATCCTCCTCGTGCAACACTTTATTAACTTCTTCTATTACTTTTCTCTCACGATGCTTCTCCTCCTCTTTCTCGCGTAATCTACGTCGATTATCAATCAACTGATTTTGAAGATCTCTTCTGTACTTTAATTTCTCCTCCTGTTGCTTTATAAGATCTTCTTTCAAATTCCATGGAGGAATCAAATTGGACACTTGTACCACCTCTTCTTCTTCTTTCTTCAAATCAGTTTCTATCTTTTCGAAAATCTCTTTAGGTATACTGACAGCGAATTTCTTTTTTCTAGTCTTTAAAGATTCTTGCAGCTCAAGCTCTGTATTGTATTAAATTCATATAATTAACCTCACAATGAGTTAATAAAAACAATTGTTGTTTTTACGTTTACGACGTGCAAGTTCTTCTGCTAGTCGATGAGTGCGAGCAAGTTGTCGAACTTTTAAATCTGCAGCTGCTTTGGCATGTTGAAGTTGTTCCGCTTCCAATGCTTGTTTTCGTTCAATATGCACTTGACGTAAATGCCGCTTTTTTTCGGCTGTCTTATCTATGATTCTCCGTCGTATTTCTATTTCCAGAGATTTTTGATCTTTGATACTTTCGAAATCAGGTTGTTCTCTAATATTAAACATGATTTAAATTTCAATTTAAATGTAAATATAATTTGTTAAAAAATTTCTATTGTATATATATGTATATATATATCTCATCTTCCAAATTAATGGATGGAGAAAACATAAAAGCATCATATTTAAAGAGTCGATCTTTAAATGATCAAAGATAAAAAAATAAAAAAATATAATAAATAAATTAATATTTTATTAACTTTCCAATTACAAATTTTGCAAAGCTATTTACATAATTTGTACAAAATACAATATTATACAAAAAATAAAATATTTCAAATATTTGAATTATACGTTTTTAATAGTCAGCAGCATTGCTGGCTAAGTAATCGCGGCGACCGATGTTGGATGCTTGTTTATTTTGGATAGCTTCCAATTTAGGACATTCGGTAATTCTGTGACCAAGACCACCGCAATAACTGCAACCACGCTCATCTGAAATGAAACGAAACGAAAACATAGTTTATTTTCTTTTTTTAAAAAAAATAAAAGAAAAACATAAATGTGAACATAAATTTTTCTTACCTCCCAAATTGAGATATTTTTCATTTTCCGAACAAAGTTCCAGCAAAAATGGTGGAACTTTTTGTTTCGCTTCCATAAGCAAATGTTTAAGATCTAACAATACGGATTCGTCATTTGCTTTGTTAATAAATGTTGTCGCTATTCCAGTTCGTCCAGACCGTCCAGTTCTTCCTATTCTATGTACTATATATAAAAATTTTATATTTTAATTCATAAATTGTAAACTTAACAATTTAAACTTAATATATAATTTAATAATGATATAAATTACCATAATTTTCAACATCATCCGGCATATCATAATTTATAACATGTTGAACATCAGCGAAATCAAGACCTTTAGACGCAACATCTGTTGCAACCAACACATCTTTTCGTCCTTCACGGAAAGCTTCTACAGAACGTGATCTTTCTTCCTGATCTATAAAACGAATGATCAAACAAATCAAATATTTGAAGCATATATAATAATTCATATTTTATTGCATTAAATTTTAACGCACCTTTCCCGCCATGTATTGCTACTGCTTCAACACCTTTTAATAATAAATATTCGTGAATAGCATCTACATCTTGTTTCTTCTCGGCAAAAATAAGTACAGGTGGTGGAGTTTTTTGTAAACATTCTAAAAGATATACTATTTTAGCTTCTTGTTTGACATATTCAACTTCTTGCACTACGTTCATAGACGCTGCACCTGCGCGACCAACATTAATCGTCACAGGTTTTACTAAAGCAGAACGGGCAAAATTTTGAATCTTCTTCGGCATAGTGGCAGAAAATAATAACGTTTGTCTCTGACCCTATATAAAATATATTCAAATATATAATGCAAATAATTTTTATACAATAAAAATGTATTATAGTAAAATATGTTTACCCTGAAAAATGAGAAAATTGTTCGTACATCTTCTTCAAAACCCATATCGATCATACGATCCGCTTCATCCATACAAAGATATCGACAAACGCTAAGTTTTACCATTTTTTTATCTAACATATCCATTAATCTTCCAGGAGTTGCTACCATAATATGTACACCTCTATAATGAAAAAAAAAGAAAAATTTATATAGTATAATACAAGTGAAAAGACAGGATACTTACTTATTAATAACTTCTAAAGATTCTGATACAGGTACACCTCCAATTGCTAAACAGCTGCGTATTTCAGGACAACCTGCTTGTCGTAAACTATTTGTATAATGTCGTATAATATCATAAGTTTGTTTCGCTAATTCTCTAGATGGACAAATAATTAAACCTAATAAAGAATAAGAACAAGTTACATTTTATTTTTCATATCTTTTATTTTTTATTTTGTCAAAATATCATATTCATACCATATGGTCCTTCATTTCTCACAAAGGGCATAGCCACTTCTTGTTCTAGACAAAACATTATAATAGGTAAAACAAATACTAATGTTTTACCACTGCCAGTGAAAGCAATACCAATCATATCTCGTCCAGATAATCTTTAATATATTAAAAAAATAAAAAAAAAAGTTTAATATTATATAAAAAATTATTAAAGATATTAAGAATTTTAATATAATGTATACTAACACTGTGGGTATTCCTTGAATTTGAATTGGTGTTGGTTTAACAATACCCTTTTGTTCTAGACCATTTAATATACCTCTATGAAATTTCATTTCTTTAAAACTTTTCAATGGTGGTGGAACATCATCTCCTTCTACTAAAATCCTAAGTTTTCTTCTGATTCTTTCATGTCTCGCTTCTCCTGCAGCAAGAACTGCTCTTGGAGGTCTCCAACTAGTCTTTATTGGTTCTTCATATTGAATACCTTTTGCTAGTTCTGCTACGCCCATTAAAGCTTTATTTTCTGCTACACTCTCTAAAATCTTTTCTTCTTCTTTTAATTGTTTCTCCATAGCACTTTCTTTTTTAGCTAAAATATTTTACAATTAATTAATTGTTTATATTTATTACTATAATAAAATTTATATATTATAAATATAATAAA